GACCCAGGGACCTGCGAGCAGGGCCTCCCAGTCCTGAGCTGGGTCCCCCTCCCGACTTGCCCTCGCGCACACATACACACACAGAGACACTCACAGACACACTCACACACGCACACACACACCCCGCCCCTTCCGATTGGCTCGGGCGAGCCTCGGGGGCGGGAGCAGGCTCACGCGGCGCTTCCGCCCATTGGCGGGAGGAGAAAACACGTGGCGGGGTGCGCGAGCGGCCCGCTGGGACTTGTAGTCTCCTCGCCGAGGCGCGGCGTGGAGGGGGCGGGGCGAGGTGCGTTTGTGATGCTGATTGACTGGGGGTGTGCGCAGGAGGTTTGCGAAGGCGACGGCGCGCCGTTGGTGTCATGCGGAAGATGGCGGCGTCCAGGGGAGGCTGAGGGCTTTGAGGAAGCGGCGAGAGGTTTCCGTACAGCCCGAACGTGCGGTTTTGGGGGTCCCTTCGCTCTGTGTTTCCTGCTCCAGGTTTCGCGTCGCGCATCTTCCCAGACCCTCGGGCGCGATGTGGAGGAGCTGTCTCCGGCTGCGGGACGGGGGACGCCGTCTCCTGAATCGGCCTGCGGGTGGTCCCTGCGCTTCTATGAGTCCGGGGCCAACCATCCCGTCTCCAGCCCGGGCTTACGCCCCGCCGACAGGTAAGACTATGACACATTCTCTTTTGGGTAGGGGCCGAGCTGGGGTAAGGTGGGCTTTGGGCTTCGGCTATGCAAAGCGAGGTGACTGAGGCAGGGTTCAGGCTCATGAGGTTATGCAAGCCGGTCAAGTCTTTTTACAGATGAGAAAGTGAAGCCCAGACAAGGGCAGACGACCCGAGAGGGAACAGCGAGTGACGCACGATACGGTAATTGATATTTGGCCTGTGCAGCTTTTCTCAAAGCTTATGGCTGCCCTCCCTAGGAAATAAGGTGTCATCCTTGTTTTCAAAAGGGGAAGTTTGGGCTCTGAATCAGGACTTCGCCTACGTTACAGACAGACTCTCTCAGAGATTTGAGGTGTCTGACTGCTTTCCGTGTCTCCACTGCCCAACACAATACCTGCACAGAAGGGACCTAGAACCTGGACCTTCATTCCTCCATCCTGGGCACTTCAGCTGCAGGTTTCCTGACTTTCCCTCCTACCACAACCTCTGCCATCATGCAGCCTTCTCTGCTAAATAGAAATTGACATCTCCACCTTTGACTGTGGAGTCACCTCCACCTCCAACTCTGATGAAGCTCGGAAGTAGTGGCTCTTTCATTGCTGATGGTGAGTGGTGTTAGGGTAAGAGTGAGAATGATTCATTTCAGTGAATGAAAAGCAGTAACACCCTCCCACCATTCAATTAGTTTTATAGTGCTGGAGGCAGGAGACACGGTAGTCTTTAAGACCCACCTGTATGTATTGGTAGAGAAGCTCAGTTACAGAAGAAAAAGACCCACCTGAATGATGTTCACTGTTGAGTGCAAAAGGTTATAATATCCTGATAAGGGACATACAAAGAAGCTGTGAAAACACGGAGAATCACCTGCTCCCATCTTGGGGCTGTTCAGGGTTTAGAATGGGTCTTGGGTGAAAGGGCATTTAAGCTGAGCCATGATAGATGAGTAGGAGTTCAGCAAGAAGGTGGGAGAGCGTTGGGTATCTAGAACATGTCCAGGGTGACAGCAAGATATGAGGGACTTTTCCCTAACACTGCCTGCTTTAGAAACTTGAGAACTTCACAGGCAGTTTGGCATTGTGGCAGGAGTGCAAATCTAGGATCTGATACTGGCAAAACCTCTGAGGTCTGTGTGATCTTGGGCATGCAACTACTTCCTCATTTTTCTGCATGAGTTGAAGTACTAGGTTGTCTTTGAGGATCTTTCTGGCTGTCGAGTTCTTTTTTTTTTTTTCTTT